TTTCTCCACCCTTCACTCTCTCCCTCCTTCCTTAACTAATTATTTAGCAAAATTTACAAAGTTAATCTTTACTTGCCACCCCTTCTTCTAAAGTTCTTAGTCCTCCTCTCACCCCTTTCCATCTTCCTTTACATTTTAATTCTTAACTTATATGGTTTTAAATAAAAAAATTAGAATAATTTCAAAAGGTACTATTTACCTTATCCTTGATCACATACTAGAGATGGTCATCTAAAAAGTTCTTCATCTCTTTTTCTTTCCTCAAAGCTCCTCGCGTTTTTCTTTCATTCCCCATTTTACATTTCTAATTTCTCTCCATTTCCCTCCTCTATAACCTCGAAGTCTCTTCCACAATTAAATACTAAGAATGGTATCTTGAAATGCTTTTCCTCTTCCTTCCTTTATTGCCTTAAAACATCTCTTTATCTCTTTCCTTTTATCTCCCCCGTGGCCTTGTCTCGCTTCTAACATACTCTTTCCTTTATTGTCCTAAACTCTGTCTCTCACTCTCTTTCTTTATTTCCTAATACGTCTTGACCTCATTCCATCCTTTAAAAGGCTTTGAAAATTGTAGTTTGCATTTGCTTATTATCCCCCTGGCCCCTGCCCCCTTTTCTCTCTCCCGTTGGCCTTTTTTTCTCTCCCATCTTCTTTCTATCTCCCTCTTTCTGCCGGCCTCCCCCTATCTCTCTCTCCCTCCCGAGCCTTCTCCTTCTTTAACACTATATCACACACTCTTTCTCTTTCTCCCTCAGTCCTCCTTTCTCTTTATCACTTTATTTATTTCTTCTCCAACCCCCTCTCTTTCTCCTATCCCTATTTCTTTTTTCTCCCTCTCTTCATCTCATCCCCTTTCCTTCCTAAACCCTCTTTCTATCTCTCTCTTTTTTCCCGGCTCCTCTCTACCATTTTTTCTCACTACTCTTTCTCTCCGGCCTTTATCTCTCTTGTTTTCACCTACCCCCTCTCTTTTTCGAACTGTTCTCTTTGTCTTTTGACATGCCCTCTTTCTCTTCTAACTCTTCTCTTTCTCGGTTCCCTTTCTCTCTCTTGATGCATCTCTCTCTTCTGGTCCCTGTTTCTCTCCCTCCTTCTCCTTCTCCCTTTCTCTCCTTCTCCTCCTGTATCTTCATCTTTCCCTTTCTCTCCCACTCTTTCTGTGATTGTACAAACATTTAAAAAATAAAACACTTACTCATGAATCTAACACTATTCTACCATAATGTTAAACTTTTATATAAGGGTGCTACTAAAAATCAGATGAGTTTATAATAATTTTCACAAAATCACGTTGGTTAATTAATAACATTTATTGATTATTGACAAAACCTTGTCCAAATCTAATTGTCAAAATCTACTTCCCTTTCTTGTTTACTTTGTTTATCGTTCTCTTAGCTTTCTTTTTATTTAACTCGTCTTTTTTCATTTTGAGCATCTTAGAAAGTTTCTAAAAATTATTGTCATCTTCTTACTCAATTTCTTCTCCCACCTTTTTTTTATGGCTTTGAAAATTATAGGTCATACTTACTCTCTTATTACTCATTCATTCCTTTATTATCCCATGGCCTCATACTCTTTCTCTTAGTCTCTTTCTTTCTTTCAAATCCTTCTTGTCCCTATTCTATCCTCTAAAAGCTAAGGCTTTGAAAATTATAGGTTATAGTTGCTCCCTTTTCCCCCCGGCCCTCCCCCCTTTCCCTGTAGGCCTCTTTATATCTCCTAGTTTCTCTCTGTCTCCCTCTTTCTTTCGACCTCCTATCTCTTTTTCTCTCCCAACCTGTCTCTCTCTTTATCACTTTATCACACACACACACACTCTCTCTCTCCCTACCCTTTTATCCTTTTATTGCTCTATTTCTTTCTATTTCGACCCTTATCTCTCTCTTGTGGCCCTCTTTCTTATTCTCTCTTTATTTCACTTTTTTTTTTCTTTTTCTCCCGGCTCCTTTTTCTTTATTTCTTTCCCTTCTTTTAGCTCCTCATTCCCGGGTTTCTCACTCTCTATCTCTTTCCTGACCCTTCTATAACTTGGCTCTTTCTTTCTCGACATATCCTTCTCTTGCTCTCTCCCATGTCCCTTCCTTTTCTATCTTTTCCTCTTTCCCTCTCCCCCTCTCCCTCTCCTTCTCCTCTCTCTCCCAATCCCTTTCCCTATTAACACAATTCTACCTTAAGTTTGAATTTTTTGTTCTAAATGTATTGCTAATCAATTTGACTTTCTATACAAAATATCTCATTAATATCGAGACCTTGTTCTTTTGAGCTTCTGGGCAGAGCAGAGCAGGGATTAGCAGAGTAGAGCAAATTTCAGCAGAGCAGGCTTCCACACATTGCAGAGCAAAGCAGATCAAGGTAGAGCAGAGCAGAGAAGGGCATAAAAGAGAAGATTTTAGCAGAGCAGAGCAGATTTCAACAGAGCATAGCAGAGCAGAGTAGGACAGAGCAGCTCAAAAGCATATAAAATTGGAAATTTTTTAACCATATCTCTCTTCCTCTCTCCTTCCTTCCATCCCTCCCTCCCTCCTTCCCTATTTTATAATTTTTTAAAATTTATAAAGTTAATCTTTACTTGTGTTCAACCTTCCTCCCCCCAATTCTCACTTGCTTTCCTCTCCCTTTCCATCTTCCTTTACATGTTTACAATTAAATTAGATGGTTAATCAAAGTTTAGAATCTGTTAAAAAAGTACTCTTTATCTCTTCTTTGATTTAATTCTAAAAAATATTCTTCTAATTAAAGTGCTCTTTATCTCTTTCTCCTTCTTCGAACCCCCTTGAAATGACTATATCTCTCTTTACCTCTTTCCCTCCTCTCACATTTTCTCTATCTCCCTCTTCTTCTTTGTTCATACACTTCCTCTCCCACCCCTTTTCCCTTTAATCCTCTTCTCTCTTTTTGTACTGATATGAAAATTATAGTGTGCCTCATCCAGCATGACTTCCTATCTATATATTCTTTTCCTACTTGCTATTTTTTTTATTCATCAATAGTGAACCTTATTCAACCAACTCTCTAGCCATTTTAAATTTGATCAAATTGATTGTAACAACCTAACTACATGGTAGTGGTCTAGAGAGCGTAATTGCTAGATTAATCAATCCTAAGCTATTTAATAATATTAGCACAAGCCAAATATTTAGTGTAAAAATTTGTGAAAATTAATTATATGATTCCAGCGAGAATATTAGATTTACAATTATTGTTATTTCTATCATTTATAATCTTCTTTATAAATTCATCAACACATTGGCTAATAAATTCATCGACTGAAAGTTGGAGATCAAGAGGTTTCTGCATAGTCAGAGGAGGTGTTTGCTACAACTCATAATGCATATTGAAGTTCAAAAATTGCATGTATTCAGCCTAAAAAAACATTAGTTTCATTGTCATATACTTGCAAGAAACAAGGGAAATTTGAGTATGAAATTGTTACATGTTCAACTATTCACAGATATTACTGCAGCAAGATGGCATCACATTTGTTTAATCCATAAGAAACACCCCATCCCAATCCACAATTCCTCAAGAATAGAAACAAAAGTAGCAAAAGCAGAAAAGATAAAAGTGACACTGCCATTAACGTGAAGGGATATTGAATTACTTTGTATAAGATTCAAAGTCACCATTAAACATCTTACATTATTGTTGAAGCCTCCTTCGTAAATACTATAATTATACAAAAACCCTTCTATTTTAATTCTTCCATCCTGGCTATACTCTCTATAAAGTTCATGAAGAATCATGGAAAATAATTCAAAAGTTGAAGAAAATCTCATATATGCACAAAAACATACATGACATGATATGTTTTTGTGACACAAAGGACATCCAGATTCTGCGACAAATAACCTTGAATCGCCAAAAATACTGAAAATCAAATACAAAAGCACAGGATATAAAGGACATCCAGATTTTGCGACAAATAACTTAGAATTGCCAAAAAAAAATATTGAAAATCAAAAGATAATTTTGCTTGATATAGTTATGGACTTATGAATCTATAAAAGAAATTGATGGCTGTCATAACTTGAGTATATATAACTAAGGAAAGCATCATAATCAACCATTTTTGTGCAAATTGAATAAAAATTAATATCTGCCTCCTAAAAGCAAACTCTTGATCAAGCATTGTCTGCTTTAATATCTCCTTTAATGAATCTCTGAAGTTATGAACAGTATATAGATCAAGATCACCTTGGTCAAACATTTTATCTTTGGGGACATTAGAGAAAGAAACCACTCTTGCACTTGACTTCACAATCCCCCATTCCTGCACATCTTTCGGGGAATCTCAATTACCAAAACCATAATTCTAACCATGAGTGATATGAAACAAAATTTAAATCAAATCACTTTTACAAATCACAAGACTTATAATAAAAAATTTGCTGCTGCATCATACTCTATACTACAAAAATACAAACACAGGGGCCACACCTTTTACCACCTACAACCCAGATCTTCAAAGGAAAGATAAGCATGCTATGGCCACATAGTAATTAAGAGTAACAATGAGATACAAAGCAACAGACTATGTTGCAGATACGTTGAATAAGCTGCCTTCTTCATTAGATCTTTACACAATAGACTCGGTTAAATGGAGGATTTGGTATTCCTACACATATAAATTTCTACTGCAGATCAAGCCCTCAAAACCAAAATAAGGTAAGCTGGATCTATAAAATAGAAGAAACCTGAATCTATAAAATCACCACGTTAAAATTAAGATGTTAGGGAAATCTGGAAATGTTAAATCATCCTTTTCTAATATAAGGAAAAAAAATAAGAGCAGCTCTCCCTCCCTCCTTTGATATCTATCTACCTATCTTCCTATTACCTATATTCCATGTTTTTTCATTTCTTAGGAAGTATAATATGAGCTACGTCCTCTCCTCCCCCCCCCCCTCCTCTTCTTTTGCTCCATTTCCCTCTTTCTTTCTTACATTAGTTTTTAATGGATTATATATTTTAAATCTCTTCATACTTGATTGTAATAGGTGTTTTTTTTTTTTTTTTTTTGAAAATTTAAAACACTATACTCTATCTATTTATCTTTCTTAACCTATGCATAGTCACTTTTTTTTTTTCCTCTACTCACTCATAATTTGTGATTAAAAGTCTCTTCTTCATACTCCCTCCTTCCCCCCACTCTATTACTCAACTTTCCTCCCTCTCTCCCCCTTCGTTTAAGGATATGCAATACTTACAGATGACCATGTCATTTTTAGAATATGATCAATCTTTGAAAGCAATACAAGTCTTAGGGCTAAAAATGCAACTAAGAGTAGGACCAATAGAATAGTAGCATACATAAAGTTGATAAACTTTTCAGCCAAACTTACCCCGCGATGTATCTTACCAAGTGTTTTGCTTATATTAAGTTCGCCATCTGTAGTAACAGCTGACTACCATTTTCTTACACTTTGAAAAAGAAAATACTCTCACTCTCTCTTCCCAACCCCTCCCTTTCTCTCTCACCCCAAGGGCTCTTTATCTCTCTTAGCTTTTCTTCTTATCTCTTCTTCCTTCATCGTTGTTGTCTATACTCTCTTATATTTCTCCTTCTCCCACTCTTGTTTCCCTTTTCCTATCTTTCCCTTGGTTTTTCTCACCTTCGTGTTCCTTCTTCCACCCACCCACCCACCCACCCACCCATCTACTCTTCTTTTCTTTTTTATAATCTAAACATTTTAGTAAGCCTGTTACCTGTTGCCCCCTCTTCCCACCATTAATTACCCTCTTTAATAAGAATTTCTTAAGTGATCTTTATCTTTTACCCTATTTCACTTTTGATGTGGTCTTTTAAAAGTGCTCTTTTTTTTCTCTTATTTACTTGCTATTTATATTTCTCTTTCTCCTTTTTTTAATTCGCTAATCTTATAATCAATTATACTTGCATATCCCTAATTATAACCTCGACCTCTCTCTCACTCCCCTTTCATGTTTTTTAGAGTTTTATAAAAAATTTATAAAAGAGTACTTTATTTCTTACTACTAATTTAAAGTGCTCTATTATATTATATCTTGATTTTTCCTTTACCTTTCTCTTTTTCTCTTCCTTTTCCCATACACACATTCTCTCTTGTTCCCTCCTTGTTGTTCAAGCTTTCTTTCCTATACCTTTTCCTTTATTCCTCTTTTTTTTTTCTTCTTTTGATGAGGCTTGTCCGACTAAGCCCCCCTCCCAAATCCTTTTTCTCTCTATATAATTTTCTTTTATGGTTTATGTGCGTCTAAGAAAGTCTTTTTCATTTTTGCTTATTTCTTAGTCTTATACCTTAAAAAGATCTCTTATAAGTATATTTTCCGTATCTTCCTTACCTAATATTGTCTCCTTTGCTTCACTCTTTCCTTTTCTCTCCTCTTCACTGTTTTTTTTTGCCAAATCCTAACCCAACATTTACGACTTATAGAGAGTAATTTCGTACATGATTTTGGATTTCCATCAAATTAAATACACTCTAATAATAATTTTTTCTAAGAAAGACTCGATTTCTTCTCCTCAATTTACTTTTACAATGTAATAGCATTTTTATAAAATCCCTAAACATTTTTATAGAAATACTTACCTTAGAAAGATAATATATAGTATATTTACAAAATCCCTAAACATTTTTTTTATCACCATGCCTCTTAGTCATTTTAAAATGCTAAAATTATAAAGTCGATTCATGTTAGCTTCCCCTTTGTCTTAAAGATCTTTTTATCTCGTCTTCATTCCCTTCATTGTTTTTGTGTACATTTTAAAGTTAACTTTGTTGTTGTTACTATTGTTGTTGCTGCAAATCCACTTTAAAGTTAACTTTGTTGTTGTTACTTGTATCTAATACAAATATGCATAGCAAACACAGATACATGTACAAAAACATGAATTAAAACTGCAGCATAAGGCAGGACCCAATTTTCCAAGGTTGGTGCAATCAGAATAAGAAAATATAAAAGCAAAGACTTTGATTACAGTCTGGTAACTTTAGCAGTACATTATACATCAAGCAATCACCATTCTTCCTTCTGTGAATATTCATGTTGAGAAAATTACCTTGAGAAGTCACTGTTGCTCTTCTATGCCTGCACCAGTCTTGCTGTTGCATAGAAGCAACATAATGGCAGAACAAGGACAGTCCTGCAGAGTCTACATCCTCTACAATAACATAATTCTGAGCTTTTAGTAAAACAAATTGGTACATGGTCCAAAATTTGTATAACAAATGCAAACTTATGAGAATAGCTGGATATAGGCAATATACCAATCCTACCCTAATATAAGCTCCTCCAATTCATCAACCACCATCTTGTAGCAGATGTAGTTTTCATCCTAGATAAATGGCACATACATAATCATGTATTAGGTTTAAAAAAACATAGGAAAATTATTCGTAAATCCTAATTATTAACAAACAATTTAGAATTTACTCACTAATTACAATCACACATAACACTTGAAAGAAGCATATCTAAATTTCAAAATTCAAAAGTCAATAATTCTAAATAAGATCAATGTCATTTTTCGTTCACTGCCAACCTGAAAGTAGATCTACTAAAATCCTTTAAATCTAAAAAAAGATCAAAGTAAAATTGGATCCACTTATACAACCAATTTCACCTGTTTCTCAACGTAGATCTCAAAAATAGAAAAACAATGATAACCTTATTCCCATCCCCCTTCCCCTCCACCAATTCTTACTACACCTGGAAATTTTTTGCTTTTTTATGAGATTGGCTTAAACATGAGTTGGTGTGGGTTATTTAAGCAAAATCAGTAGATTCGATGTCATGATTCTGATGAAGCTGCTGGGTACAAACAGAGTATTTTCCGGGCCAAATCAATCATACGTAGTAAATTCAGTGCACTTTAACAAACTATGCAGTATCTGATAGAGTGATAGCTTAACACTAATTTTCTAGGACAGGTGCACAATTACCCCCTCTATGAATCCCTATCTCAAGGTGGTCTGTGGAAGGTGGCTGATGAGGAATAATATTCAGGGGAAGGGGTAAAGGAGTTTTGAACCCCTGACTGAAATGTTATATACACTCGAGTGCAAGATGCACCAAGGTTTTTTTTTTGCAAAAAATACGTTAGGTGTACCGTGCACCCGAGTGTATATAACAACCTTTGACCCAAGACGACCTAAGTTGTGAACTTATGGAAGCTAAGGGGTTCAACCACTTGATCTCTACTCAATTCTCTAGTTTAATAGTTTAGCACTATACTCCAGGAAATTGCTAGCACTAATAAACCGGATATTCATAAATCAATCCAGATCCAGAGTTCATGTGTATACATATAATAGCAGAAACAATGCAACATATATACTTGACATCAAAAGTATGAAACAGAATCAGCATCACCAGGGCAATAATAACGAACAAATATACTTCTCTTTTTTTTACGTGCTTATGAATTGTTGGTTTTTTTTGCTCTTCTGACATGCTTTTCCACTCTTCACCAATGATCTTTGATGCCTAGCCTATCAATCACATACTATGCCATATAAACACTACTCACCACTCACTTTAAAGTTTAAACTATTATCAGCCATGTTGGCAACATATACATAAATTCTCAAGTCAACGTAAAGCTAATTTACGTCACCAATCAATAAAGTATGAGTAATTGTTTTCCCCAATTTCTCACTAATACTAGCATCAAAATAGAGAAACTCAAATCAAAATTAAACATGGATGATCAAGTAATGAAAAGGGAACCAGAATTAACTATCGGAATATAGTGACTACTTTTGGATCAAATTTCACAACTAAATTCAATTTTTCCCCCTCTAAACGGAAATTCAACAACACCCATCGACACAACTTCAGTCTAATTGCATTAATAAATAAAACCAAATTCCAAAATTCAAAAATAAACACCCAAAAAATAAACATGATATTATGGAGAAATGGACTAAACATAAATAATCAAGGAAATATACCAGCCAAAGAATTAAAACCTCCTGTCAAGAGTGCCCATGCTAGGCAGCTTGTCGAAACTGAGGGAGTCCTCTAAACTAGACATACTGAAAGTAATAAATTTGGCAAGGGAAAAAACATAAAAAACATAAGCAAACTACTCCATCAATACTTCAATAAATCCATATTAAACAATTTTAGCATCTTGTCTATAAGCTACAAACCTCACATACCAAATTTTTAAAGAGGTGCATTAAACAGAAGAAATCGATGAGTCACTTCATCACCCAATATTGTAAATCTATAACTGCATTTCCATAAGCTTGTTAAGAAAAAGATGAGTCAACTACTACCTATACTGCACACTCCATGTGCATGAACCTACACAACACTCTTCAATCTGCTTGTTTTTGTTTGAGTGTTTATTAGATCCAAGGAACATAATCAGATTGCTTGCACTATTTTTCTCACACAAGATACAAATCAAGTGGTTACCTCATAAGCCACTTTAATAGAGAAGGAGAAGCTTGGAAGCTGACAATCTTAAATACGCTCAACCCATTAAAGCTACACACAGTTCAAAATCAAGCAAAATTTGAAACTAAGAAAAGAAAAAAAATTGCATTTAGGTCTTCACTAATTATAACTATTAATTCAATAATCCAACGTAGAGTTGACACAACATCCAATTTAGATGCTTATTAGAGCATGAACCATTATCAGGTTTCTTCATCCCAACAAATCACCGATCAACAAAGCTAGTATAACCAACCGGAACCGCACACAATGATTGCCACTCAATTTACTCAAAATTAATAAATGAAATAATTATATAAATAAATAAAGCAAGAAGTCAAGAATAGTTTACGTACCAAGACCAGTCTCAAGATCTTTCTCATCTTCCCATGGTGCCTCATGAGTGAGTTGACCTTCTAGATCCACAAAATCTGGATTCAGTCCATGCCTGGTAGATGATCCTGCAGATCCAAATAATATCAGAAGCAAGACTTACAGCATTATTTAGAATTTTAATTTGACAGAAGCATTATTTAGAATTGAAATAACTAAATAAGCCATCATAACTTAAATATAACACCAAACCTGAAATCTAGCCTTTTTAATGAAAAACAGACCTTCAATTCAATTAGAAATTGTACCCTTCAGTCAATCTTTCCTTCATAAGGATTCCTCAAAAACATTCAAAAATACCAGAGAATTTATAACGGTAAATGAAATGGGATGGTGAAGACTTGAAAAAATTTGGCAAGCAAACAGAGTAATTAAAAGGTTGAGCATTAGTTTATTATTCCATAAATGGGGGGATCAGTGTAAACTTTCAAAAGTTTTAGCAAATTTAATAGTCCTAGTCTATTATTCCATTCAATGTCAATAGTTAAATATTAATCCATCTTTCCAATCAATGTCAATATTTGTATTCAAATCTGCAAAATGTTTGGACTTTAATCTTATTTGTAGTCGATATAATCAAACATTAAGTACAATTGAGGCATATGAGTTATATTCAATTATACAGTATGGATTTTTATTGTCGAAATTCCAATTAGTTTGGTATAATGCCACATATTTTAAAAAGCACCAATACTCCCAAACTAATCCACGTATAAAATCTTTCATCATCCTTTTTTACACTCCAAACACCAACCATCATTGACCAATTTACAACTACTCAAACCAATCAGAAAATGATTTCAACTAAACAAATAAACCTCATGCAAATTAATCATCACAAAATGCTCCACCCCGGTGAACTCATGTGGTTCTGACGTTTTTGAACCCCTTCAAATTGTTTTATTTATTGCCAACAACACCCCATACATAATACTGGTCAAGTGAATATTTTCTTAGACATCAATTGTATACTCCCAAAATACATATAAATATTTTTCTAAAAAGAATCAAAAGTAAAAATCAAAGGGCTAGAGTTTAAGCAAAGAGGAAACAAGCATTCTTTCAAAAAAAAAAAAAAAAAAAAGGAAGCAAGCATACCTTCCTACTAAATGTACAAGTCCTTTGAGTAACAAACTTTAATTAAAGAAGATAATTAATCAGAGCAAATAAGCGAGGGATACATTGACCTATGAGCACTGATCCTTGAAATCAATTTTACAAATTGAGGAAGAGAAGAAAGAGAGTTACTTTGTTTGATCAAACATATGAGGAATTTGTTCCTAAATATATTACATATTTCTTGCCAGTATGAAAAATGTTTAAGATGTTTCTTTTTCCATTCTCAATCTTGATTCCTTATAAAAGAGCGATTACTACAGTAGATCACTTCTTGATAATCCTTGCTATAATTGTGTCTCTAATAAGTCCAACTTTGCCCCCACTAATTGCTTCTTTGTCATTGAAATTTGATTGCAGAACATAAAACCATAGGATATAGCTTGGTAATTTTCATAGATTAAAATGATCATAAATATTATTGTATAAGAGGATGTCACATGCTCATAATCTCTTTCTTTAAAATCCATTGGGATGTAAGAAAGGACTTATCTGTAATTAAAAAAAAAAAAAAAAAAAAAAAAGGACTTAATACAGAACCTTAGAGCTCAGTTTATTCCAAGTAGACGAAAACAGAAAAGGTCTTTCAATAAACAGTAGACCCAAGAAATCCAATTTTTCATTTTAAAACTGAACTGCTATTCGTCGTTCGCAAATTACTGGGTGACGTTCACATTTTTAATTGAAATGACATTTTTGCCCTTGTGGGTATTTTAGCTATTTAAGGGTCCACCATGGGGAAATTTAGTTACCGACAACATTAAAAACATTACCGACCCACCACTTGTGTTAAAAAAATCCCGAGCATTAAAAAATCCCGGTTCCACCATTGTACGGTAATCCCGAGGAATTTAAAAATCCCGGGCCAGAAAAGGAAAGTGTACGGAGTGATGTTTTACGATGGACGACGACAACGTTCACACGCCGGAGGGTTCGACGGAAGAATCTGTAAGTATTTCGGAATCTTTTTTTTTTTGTAAATAGGACATCCGCTTGATTTTTCCGGAAATCTGGGGGAGATCCGCCCAAAATTTCCGGAAAAAACAAGCGGATGTCCTTTTTTTTTGTTTTTTTGTTTTTTTTTACGTAATTGTTATTGTTATTATTATTATTATTAATATTATTAATAATATTATTATTATTATTATTATTATGGTTATTAATATTAGTTTTGTTAATTTTGTAAATTTCTGTTATGATTATGATTATTATTAATATTATTACTACTATTATTATTACTATTGTTGTTATTATTATTATCATTAGTATTATTATTGTTATTATTATTATCATTAGTATTATTATTGTTATTGTTATTATTATTATTATTATTATTATTATTATTATTATTATTATTATTATTACTATTAATACTATTAATATTATTATTGTTATTATTGTTATTTTAATTATTATTATGATTATTTGTATTATTATTGTTATTATTATTGTTAAATTTAAAATAGTAATCCTTGCGTGTTTTATTTGTTTGTATTGTTATTTTGATAGGATTCGGAGGTTGAAGACGACGGTGACGTTGTGAATTACAGTGTACATTTTGTGACAGACACGTTTTTCTAACGTTTGACGATGCAGTTACATGGGCGGATGCTGTTGCAATAAATCTGGGATTTATTTTGGTGAAATCGTCTTTCAACAAACAGAGGGATGGTCGACCAGTTCGATATTTAAGATGTGACCGGGGACGCAGGAGTAAGCCGAGAGATCTTGAGAACGCAATTCGGAAGGACACCAAAACCAAGGGCATTGGTTGTCCTTTCTACATCAAGATATGTTACGAGTTCGTCACCAATACTTGGTTTATCCGGGCGAAAATTGATGTAACTGGGACCCACAACCATCCAATGATTGCGTATCCAGAGGGTCATCATAAAATTAGTGGGTTGAGCCCGAATGCGAAGCAGGTTGTGCGTGACATGACGAAGTCTAAGGTTGCACCGCGTAACATCATGGCGACTATTGCGGAGCAATTTCTTGATGATCATCCAAACATCAGACACATCTACAACTGCCGGAATGACTTCAAAGAGGAGATGTCTGATGGGAGAGGAGTTGTTCAACAATTTCTACATTTGGCGAGACAGAGTCAGTATGTTTACTGGGTCATGTCCGACGATGAAGGCGTTTTACAGCACGCCTTTATGGCGCATCCAGTCATGGTAGACATCCTACGGACGTACCCCTATGTGATCGGTATGGATTCCAATTACAAGACTAACCGATACGGGATGCCGTTCTTTGAGATAGTTAGCGTGACACCGACAAATCAGAATTTTCTCGTCGCTTACGTGTTCATGCGCAACGAGAGCACGACAAGCTATCGATGGGTTTTGCAGAGGTTGAGAGACGTGATTGGGTATAATAAGGAGCCGTCGGTTTTCTTGACAGACCGTGAGCTTGGGCTATGTGCTGCATTGAGGGAAGTGTTTCCAGGAACCTCGCACTTACTTTGTCGATGGCACATTAACAAAGATGTGGAGGCTCGGGTCACTACTATGTTCAAAAGCAAGAAAATCGGTGCGTCTTTCAAAAACGGAAAATGGAAACGTATCATGGACGCTGCAACCGAGGAAGATTATGAGGCCGCTGTAGAAAACATGAAAGATAAGTGGGCAAGTTTTCCAGCAGTGATACAATATGTAGAGAACACATGGCTTTGTCATAAAACAAAGTTCATGACATTTTGGACAAACCAAGTTCTACATTATGGCAACACCAGCACTTGTAGAGTTGAGAGCCAACATTCGGCCGTGAAGATGTGGTTTGATTCCTCGACAGGTTTGGTGTAAGATTATTGAACTTCATGTATGTACTTTATTTTAGGAATTTGAGTTACAAATCATAACGGTTTTTCTTTGTAATGTGCAGGTTCTTTAGATACCGTATGGGCTCGAGTTCATAGCCACATTGGTAATCAAATCATCGCAATTCGTAATGGTTTGGAGGCTTCTAGGTCGAAGATAGGTCAAAAGTACCGACAGTTGCCACTGTCACGTATAAACGGGAAGGTGTCATCTCTGGCGGAAAGTCAACCCGATACATCTTCAAGTTCGTCGGTCTCTTAGCCTTCTCAGGCCTGATAATGGCTGGTGGAATGCCCTGGACGTATCCAAGTTGCCAAACCACTCGATCAGGCATGTATGGCTCAATGATGCTACGATACTGGATGCAACCAATGAAAAGAGTAGCAGGCACGCGTGTGCTGGATCAACTCCGTACGGTAGCCAGTTAACTTCATTGTCAGTCAAATGATCCAACCTAGCCCGAAAAGCGAGAAGGCGCTCCATGCTCTTGTTAGGGCACCTCGATCCAACATCCCAGGCGGACGCACGAGGAATAGCAAGCTCTCTGGTCAAGGTCCCCTGCTGAGGTCGGAAACACGGAAAGTACTCGTAGATCCACGCCTGCAGAAGCGTAAGGCAGCTAACGATAGAATCAGCATCTCTTCGTGATGCTGTACCCAATTACCGGTACATGTATGCTAGCACAGCAGAACCCCAGGAGTACTCACTAATCTGAACATCCTCAACAAACAGCTCGTTGAGGAAGGAAGGATGAGTACGGTTTCCACTCTTGTCCAAAAACAAACAACCGCCGAGTACTAACCACAGGTACGCCCTGTAATGGAAACTGAAGGGCCTCTGCGCCTCCAAGGTCGACTCCACTATCCTCTCAGTCAGGACCCCACTACCCTGCCATACGGTTTTGGTACCACACTTCTCATTCAGCTCTTCCTCAGTCATATCCAAGGTAACCGAGCACGCGTCCCGTAAAACGTCCGTGCTAGGAGTAGTGGAAACCATGGAACCGTCGACACGAAGCCCTAGAATATGATACACATCATGCAGCATGATCGTGATCTCCCCAAAAGGCATGTGAAACGTGTTCATGTCTGGCTGCCATCTCTCAACAAAAGCAGAAATTAAGGGCCAGTCAAATCGCCGGAACATGATCCCGGGTAAATGAAATAGACCAGTGCCATCAATCGGTTCCAGGTGCTCCGGCGGAAGACGAGCGCTCCAGTAACCCAATTCAGAACACAACTGTGTCCTTCTCAAACACCGCAGCACGTTTCGCTCCTGCCCACCCCATATGTAGGCAGACACGTGACCCCCAAAACTCGGAATAACGGTACCATCTTCAGGCCCACCTGGCATCGGCTCCTGCACCACCCATGACTCTGACGAGCTGGTAGAAGCTTGACCTGGTTCACTACTGCTAACATATCTCCCATGGTCACCCCTATACACAGTACGATAATCCTGAGGGTCGTACTGTGCATCTCTAGCAGATTGACTTCCTCGATCTTCATCCTCATCCTCATCTGATGAAGGCACTCCAGTAGACGAATACATGGGGGCGCTCCCCTGTGACTGGTGCTCCCCCGACCAAGCACCAGC